GACCTCCGACCAACCTCTTGACAGGCTCCGGAGTCTCTGTGTGTCCCCACGACGGCCACAATCTCGGCCTCAGCCTATGAGTCGACGCCGTTGGCCAGACTCTGCACTTGTCTGCAAAACTCCCTGGCCGAGATTCGCAGATATGCTGACATGGTGCCGGGCTTCTCGTCGATGGTGCGCTCCGATTGCGACACCGTCCTGAAACTGCATGCGTTGGATCTGATGTCCTTTCGCATGGCTCTGCGGTAAGCTGGTCTTAAAGCCTTTCTGATGATGCATTTTGTCTTGAGGCCTAGTCAATTCCTTTGGAAGGTCAAGTCTATGGACCTTCAAGGCAGACTTCGGAGCCTGAGCCTTGAAAACAACGGAGGACGATACTGCATCTTGTCAGAATGCAGTTGGGTTCCAACTCGACTTTTTTTTACAGAAAAATATAAAATGTAAAATGCAGTAAAAAGGAGTTTAGAATATCATTAAAAGTTAATTTCATTAAGGACAGATATAGTCATGAAACAGTGAATAAAAACATATATAAGTATAAATATCACTTAAATATAAAAAAATATATATATTAAATAGACATTAAATATATATAAAATATAAAACGGAATATGATTAAAGGTGTCCATTTTTTGCAAATAAATCTATTTCGAAAAGACCGTAAAAATGCAAAATGCGTAACAAATGGTTAAGAATATCACTCATATAGACAAATAGATGGATATTAAAATTGATTGAAATGTAAAAATTATTAAATATCCGAATAAAGTTATCACAAATCTACAAAAATTAAATTAGATATATAGTGTATAATTTGAAAAATCATTAAAAGTGGAACTCTTAGCCAAAAATTTAATCAAGAAAGACTGTAAATATATAAAATGCAGAAAAGGTGCTTTGGATTATCACTAACATATATAAATATATAATAATAATATGTACATATATTTAACTATCTAGTTATTACAAATTGAATGATGATTTAGTTGTATTAAATTGCTTAATTTGATTTAATGATTGATAGTTAGAAGGCTGTGGCTGACCACCATGGCACCCACAGCATTTTTGGAGCCTGAGAATTGGGGACTGCGTGATCGCAGTCCATCCTACCGGTACCTCGAGTTGGTCATAAGGTAAGTATAATCTTTTTCGGTGTGAGCATTTTTCAAGATTGAGTAACCACCGGACAGGATTAGGCATTCCGGTATCGTTGAATATGAAGTTTGCCAAGCAGATCACTTTATATATATCAAAAAATGCCTAAATAAATTTATTTTTTAAGGGTGGACAGGATCAGACTACTTTATTGGATGCGAAGAATAACTGGGTTTCGATGAATCTCTTTAGATAATAGTGCTGGGGACACTTTCGTTTAGTATGAAAATGTATGAAGAAGAGATTCGAAAGTCGATCTTATCTGAAGACGACGACTGATTCGAATTGTACCGCAGTTATTTGGCTTTCATACGACGTTCATGTTTACTCAATCCACGAGACATCCTCTCTAGTTTCTAGTGAAAACGGGCTGAGCTTTCGTCCATCAAAGTGTCACGTCAACACTAGGTCTTCTTCCTGCACTTTCATCCGAAATAGGAGCACTCCCAACACCACTTTATGGGAGGCAAGAATATATGAAATTCACTAAAAACGTGCGTCCTGTACATATAATTATAAGAAAATCCGACTATCAGTCCTATACCAGCCTATGCGACCTAGGGTGAATAGAACTCTAATGTCGACTACCAACTGAAGGGCGCGGTCATTTATTTCTCAATCTCAAAAACTTCATGTACTACTTGGAAAAAGTTAAGTAGTTGTTTGCATTTCGTGAATAAAAGCTTGCCGTCGTAAGGGTCAGTTTGGTCTTGTGTACAAATTTCATTTTGTCCCCATTTCTGCTCCTGCAGATGTGCTTCTGACGAGAATTGGCTCTACCTCGCTTTCGGCCCGTCGAACTCAATCCGCGCCGGCATCGAATGCCCTCCGGACACGTCTTCTTCAACCCCATCCTCCACCTCTTCCTCGACAACCGCCTCCTCCTGCATGTCTTCTTCTTCTTCTTCTTCTTTTTCTTCTTCATCTTCTTCTTCTGCCTCTTCTGCCAATTCCTCCTTATCGTCCTCATGTGCAGCCTCTGCTCCGCCCTCTTTGTGCAACACTTTCTTGTTGCCTTCTGACCCCTCGACCTCTCACCTCATTGGCTCAACCCGTACTGGCAACTGTCTTTTCCCAGGGGCCCTGGGCCCCGGAGAACTGACCAATCAGGCGCCTGTCTGTGATCCACTTCTACCGCCGCCCAGTTCAACTGGTCCAATGAATCGACACCGATTGTCACATCTGCGAGGCACCACGACAACCGTGACGACCAGTCGTGGCAGCGGTACCCCCACAGCCTCGGGCTGTTCAGCCAGTCTCCTCATGCCATTGCCCGTCTGCCCGAGACGCTCGCCATCTCGCAACCATGGCAACCAGACCTCGAGGTCTGGGATAGAGGAGGACGAGGTGGCCGACTTGAGGGCGCCGCCTCTGCCCATCTTCTACTCTGGCCTCTCGGGTTCGGGGTCCGTGTCCGGCTGCGTTTCCGAGTCCGGCTCGGACCGGATCAACCTCTCGACGTCTTCGTCGTCCTGGCTCCCGGGCTCTGGCTCCGGCTCCGGCTGCAACGGGGCCGCTGCCAGACAAGCTCAACTTCAAGCGTGGAGCGCCGCGGTGCTGGTCTTCGAGAGCGGCGATACCATGAGCCTCGAGGAGGTGGCGGCCGCCGGACTGACCAGTTGGGCAGAGCAGTTGCGCGAGTTCGGACTCCGATTGCGGCTTCTGGTGCAGGACGACTTGAACACCATCGCCGGACTCGCCGCTCTGGTCTTGCTCAACTACAAGTCGGTGAATTGTAAGTTGGCCGATAGCGGCTGTGTCCACCAGGTCAATTTGCCCACAATCTTACCAGACGTCATCGAAATTATACAATTCTCGCGGTTCAAAAGTGGTTTGATCTCTTTTTTTTCTTTTCAACTTGGTCCAGTTGTCAAAGCGATCGCGTTGAATGCAACTCGTTCACAATTGTCTGGCGGAAGTGGGACTCGATTTTTCTAGTTAGAAGGAAAAGTTGTCTGGAAAGAATGGTTGAATTGGTCTCACTGGACACCGAAGCTTTGGAGCTGAGACCACGAGGAAATGCTTGGATCTACATCCTGCAACTTCGATACGCTCGTGCTAAGCTATTAAATCTACCGCCCTGACAGACATCAGCAGAGCAAGAAAACATTCTCTAGAAAATACCAAATCACGACTATATTGGCCTATGATTTGATGCCCGTCACGGCGGTACAGACAAGAGATTAGCACAAGTTCGTCAGACTCACAGGACAGTGTGTCAAGGACATCGTGACGACGATCCTATTTTGGTTTCCGAGGAGATAAATTTACGAGATCCTTCCGACCAACTTTTCCTTCAAAATTGAAAGCCGAATCCCACTAGTTGACTAAGCAATGCTTGATAAGTTTACTTCACCTTTTTTTCATATATTCGAGATCTTAGTCATTTACATTACCAGACCATGAAAAGTGTACATGCCTAGACTTTGACCAGGAGTAGGGCGAAACTATTGGAACCTTACACATTTTTTAGGTGATGCAGATAGTAATCATGATTATTCTGGTAGAGCACTCTGAACAAGTTGATTTCTTTAAAGTCACCATGACAACAGGATAAAGTAGCGAAAACAAGGTTCAACCAATTGAGTTGAGATGAGATGAGATGAGATGATATGAAATGAGATGCGAGGAGTTGAGATCAGATGAGGTGAGTTTAAAATTAATGAGTGAAGATAAAATTTGATAATATAAGATGAGATTAGATGAGATGAAATGAGATGAACAGACATGAGATGGAATAAAATGAGATGAGATGAGATGAACAGAGATGAGAACGAATAAAATGATATAAGGTGAGATGAGATGAGATGAGATGAGATGAGATGAGATGAGATGAGATGAGATGAGATGA